GTTCGGCCACTCAGCAGGAAAACGTCAGGACCTTTGGCTGCCTGGTAGGCACAGCACTGTGTAGCAGTCTGTTACCTTAGAAAGAGCAGAAGGTGAATTTGTCCTGCTGGGAGTCAAAGAAGGGGTTCTTGGAGGGAGAGCAGCACACACCTTTCATATCCAAAGGGAAGAGACTCTTTCTTGTGAGATGTTCCCTGATTTCATCTGATGCCCAAACCCTTGGGAGACAGTGTCAGTGTGCAGGAACGCAGGCTGCAGCAGCAGGGGAGGTCACTGAGGATCTACCAGAGTAAATCTTTGGGTGCAGCTCAGTGCTTCCTTGAAACACCACTGCATGACCATCTTTCCAGGAAGAATGTGTGGGTCTGTTTTGAGGCTGAGTAGCAGCAGATCTTGCCTACAAACTCCAAAATCAGAGGAGCCTCAGAATATCAAGCAGCAAGCCTAAGGCTTTGTCTCAGCCCTCTCCTCTTCCCACTAGCTGGATTAGTGATGTGACCTTTAAGCTCTCTCCTTGCAGATGTTTTTTTGTTGTGATTTTTTGCGTCTGTCCCTTGGTAGAAGAGAACTTGGAAGGAAGTGTTAGAGCTCAGCAAGCTGGAGGGCACGGGGGCTCCGTGTTCCATCCGCCTTCTCGGGGTCCTCCCTCGCCCCCCCATTCCCAGGCTGCCCACTGTGAGGATGTGGCTGCCTCTGTTTACCCACGGGTGTGACATCGCTGTGCTCCGGTGTTTGTTCAATCCCTTCCAGCTCCTGATCCCGCTGAAATCCCAGGAAGACTTGGACAAAGCCATGGAACAGTTGGAGCTGAGCCCTTCCCTGAAGAGCCTGCGGGTCCTTGTGAGCGCTCCAAAGAAAGCGAATGTGAGTCCTTCACCTTCTCTGCTCTCCCGTGTCCAGGGCAAGATGCCTTGTGATTGTGTTGGGGAGTGGAAACAAGTCTCCTGGCGGTGAAGAGCAGAGGGCAAGCTGGCCGTGAGAGGGGTCAGCCCTGCTCAGGCTCAGCTGCTCGGAAATCCTGAGCTCAGCTCCCTCTAGCTCCCCATGAAGGGTTAAATACCATCTGCTCCTCAAGCAAGGTCAAACCCCAAGAGAGCCCCTTGTGCTTTCTGCCTAGGGGTGCTGTCACCATTCCTCTGCAGCCCCTCCTCCCTGTATGGGGTGATGCCCTGGCCATTGCCTTGCTGGGGGGCAGCATGGGGACTGTTCCCTCCGTGTGGTGCTGCAGTACTAAAGGCCAGGAAGAGCAGACTGGAGAATCCCTCAGTCTCATGCAGGACTGTCTCCTTTTTTTTTTTCTCTATTTATTTATTTGGTTTTCCTAAGCTCAGTGGTTTGCAGTTAAGCTTGACCTCGCCTGCACAGAGTGTCTTGCCAAAGCACATGTCGTGCTGCCCCAAGCACAGGCTGGGATTTGCAGATGTTGCAACTCTCTTTCTTCCTTATATTTCCTAGAAGTACTGGAGACACTGGGAGTCTTGAAACTCCTCGTGCGTGTCCTCATGCTACCGCTGGTGCTTGAAGCTCTTGGAACTTCCCTGCTCTTTTTGAGAGGCTCTCAGAAACTACTGGGACCAGAGTTCCAGGGGAAAACTGATCCATCAGTTGAGGTTTCCTAAATCCTGGGCAGAAATGGGGTGATCTGTGGGAACGTGGCAGTATTGCCAGTCAGCTACGAAGAGCAGGGGAGCCAGGCAGATGGATGCATACCTTTGAGAGCAGGTCCATCTCTCCCTGAAGCATGTAACCATTCTCCTTCATCTAGGAACATACAGTTCCATGGTCATACATCAAATTATCCCAAAATCACAGCACACTGTAGTGTGCCATCTTAATAAGACTTGGCCACTACCGTTTCAGTTACCAGATGGATGTGCATTTCTTTGCTGTCCCCTTCACCTGTCGTCCCCAGCAGAGCCTGGTCCTCCACTCTCTGTTCCTCTGCTCTGTTACAGGGGAGCCTAAGCTGCCACGGAATTGTAGGGAGCATGGAGGAGAGGCTCTGGTTTGGGGATTGTCAACCTGGGTTCAGGCCAGGGAGCAGTCTCTGTGTCTATCTGCAAATCATGCAGTGCAGGAACAGTCCTTCTATAAAATGTCTGTGTTTACCATTATCAACTGGAGCTTAATCTTCATCTTATTAGAGTATTTTAATAACAGACATGAATAACTTGTGAATGATTTCTGGATGACTCTAGAGCTCCACATTACACGCACGTCTCTTTTGTGTTGTTTTTTCAAACAGTTCTTGGGTAATATGGTCATGGGATGCCCAATACAGGGTTCCATATGGTGTGTCCACAAGGCCTCTGGCCAAGTCTGATCTTTTCCTTTATCTGGTTATCAGCTGCTGCAGCCGAACAACAGTAAACAGCATGAAATGAGGATCTCCAGATCCATGGGTGATATCATGGGATCCCTGTACAAAGACTCCGAGAGGACGCGCAAGTATTCCACAGGTCAGTGAAATGCTCTGTGGGTGCTTGGTGCTATTACCAGGTGGCCACCACCCCCTTTCTCTCCTCTGTCACAACCCTGTAGCTGCTACAGTCTGGATGACCACCCTGATGTCTCCCACCAGTAAGTCAGAGCAGTTGCTGCTTGTCCTCAGCCTGAGGAAGAGGCACTCTGCAAGCTGCACAGCTTGGGAGAGGTTGTGCTGAGCAGAGTCAGGCTGAGCATGAAAACTAAGAAGAACAGGGGATCTGAGCTGCAGTTTGAGGGGGGAAATGCAGTGATAAATATCTCCAGTGAATGTGATGCTGCTGAGCTTTAGCAAAGTGAAGCGAGGATCTACAGAAGGTCAAGGCTTTTGGGGACCTTGATTTACTTATTCCTTTCACCATCTACTGTCATTCTCTCTGTGTCTCTCCCCCTTCCCAGTTAGCAGAATAATGTAGCTGAGTGGGCTTGGGTTCCTTAGCCCCTGGGCTGGGACCAGCTTCACCACATCAGGACCAAGTATTGTCTCTGTCTCTGTGCCACCGATCTGTTCTTGTTGGTGAGATGAAATCTGTGGTAGCTGCTTCTGTGGTTCCTCAGGGGGAAGGATGAGTGCAGTGTTCTGCAGTGGTTGCATTTCAGATGAAGGGAAGCATCCCTTTCCTTCAGAGGTGGTGGGAGGAGATCCCTGCAGCCTCTGAAGTCCAGCCGCCTAATCTCTTCTTGCAGCCCTGCACGGACTGGAGTTTGGTTTATTTATTTTTTTATAAAAAAGGTGCTCTTTTATTTGGTTTTCTGTGCTTGAATTTATGCTCTTCTTGCTTTCTAAAATGCTCTTTGAAATGACAAGTACTCTTGATACAGCCTGTAAGACCTTGTGTGTGAAGAACCGTGCAGGATTCTGTAGAGAGCAGGGTTCCTTGTGCAGAGCTGGTAAAGCAGCCAGTAGGGCTGTGTAGCAGGGGTACAATTACTCCTATGACAACCTGTGGGTGAGATTAATGAGTTTGTCACACAGTGAATGTTCTCTGCCATGGCTGTGGGTGCTGGTTACAGGGCAATTCCTACAGCTCCCTGTTGTTTTCATAGAACTATTTGACAGCTGTAGAAGTGACAGCCTCAGAGGCCTTGGATAAAGAGGGGACCTCCTATATAAATATAGATGGAGATAATCTTCATCCTCCAAAGATACTCTGTACTGACATGGCAGTAAACGCTTCCAAGCTCTTTTCTCTGTGCAACAAAAGAGTACTTTTCTCCAAGGATTTTCCCTTTCTCTGTCTTATGGCCTGTGCTGCCTTGATAACATATCCTGTGGTTGCTGCATCTTGGACAATGATATATAGAAAGTGTTCTTCTGGGGTAGGTCCAACGTAGTCCCTTGTGCAGCCATGCCCTGCTGTGCCTGAAGCCAGGGATGGGTGGCATGTGGTGCTGCCTTGATAACATATCCTGTGGTGGCTGCATCTTGGACAATGATCTATCGAAAGTGTTCTTCTAGGGTAGGTCCAACGTAGCCCCTTGTGCAGCCATGCCCTGCTGTGACTGAAGCCAGGGATGGGTGGCATGTATACAAGAACTCTCTTTGGGCTTGGTGTTTGGGTGCACTAGGGTTGTCTTTTTCTATTGTGGGGTTCTTTTTCTAGCTCACATGTCTCTTCAGAGTCTGCCCAGAGTCTGCAGAGTCACTAAATAACCCTGAATGAGCTGCACACACAAATATGTGGTAAGGTGCAGAGCCTCAGCAGAAAGTGTGCTTGAGAAAACTTCTCTGCTGCTCCATTTTTTGGCACCTGTTAAGCTGTTGATGTAAGCCAGCGAAGAGCTGTGGCACCAGGAGCTGTCACTGGTGTGTGAACTGAGCATGGTGGGCAAAACTGACTCCATGTATGGCTGTGCTAGTGAGGAGATTACATCTTGCAGAGTTAGACTTTCCTAGTAACTTTTATGCTGTACTTTGGCTTTTCCTTACTGTTTTGGAGCTGCTGTAATACCAAGAGAGTCTCTGACCAGGTCCACACCACTGACTGTGGGATGTGACTGCCTTGAAGAGCATCCTGTAGACAAGACAAGGCAGTCAAAGGAATTGATATCAGCTCTGCAAGGGTGAGAGCCTGAGGGACACATGGATTTTGAGGGAATGCCTGAATAGCAGAGTGGAGAAATGGGCATAACATGCTGGTTTAATATAGGTAATGGAGGAGGAGAACTCCTCCAGCACCAAATGTAGGCTACAGAGTGTGGCAACGTTGGGATCTTCAGAAGGGTCTTCATGCCAGTTGCTAATGCTCCAAAGCCAGTGTCCTCAGTGCTGTTATGTAGTTAGGTACAAGGGTAACCAACCAGCCCATGCTACAGTCTGGTTTTTTCAATGCAGACCATCAGTCTTAGTTTGAAAAGTGGTTGCAACAAACCCTCTGCAGGGTACCAGCACACCTGGGGTCTGTAGGAAGCTACTGGAGCTCTGCTGAGGAGGTGTTCACAATCCAGCAGGTTCACACTTTTTGACCTCCTGACTCAGAACTGGGTAGTCTAGCAGCTGGGCAGAAACTCCAGCAAGCTGCAAGGGAGACCTTCAAATGGAGCCTAAAAGTGAACGTCAGGCAATAGACAGGCAGAGGTGACCCCATGTTGTGTGTCCTTCACTCAGCTTGGTGGGTAGTCAAAAGGCAGCTGAAGGGGCTGGGATTTCTGTGGGAGAAACTGCTCTTCACTTGTAGTTGCAAGGTTTCTCACAGTGTTTGCTTCTGCTGCCATCAAAGTGGTTCCTGTCAGGAGAGGTTCTTAGCTCAGTTTGGCTTTTCTCTTGAAACCAGATTTAAAAGGAGATTTAAAGTGACCTTATAAAAAAAGGTGGTTCAGGGTCATGTTCTCAGTGTTCCTGAGATGTCTCCATTTTTTCTGCTGACTCTGCCTTGTTAGCAGCAGCAAAACATAATAAAACTTCATGTTGTTGGCACGAGCACGTTGGGAGGGAGGTAGATGTTCTGGGGAAGACTTGGCTATTTTTGCTTCTGCTGGACAGAAGATGTCTTCAGTCCATGTCCCCGAAAAACCTTATGCAAAGTCAATATTTTCTTTCTTTCTTTTTTTTTTCCCCCTAAACGTTTTCAGTGGAAATCCCCCTTCCCACCTCCTCCCCTTTTTTTTGTGGGAGTGAAGGGGAAGTGGAAAATGTTCCAGTCTCTTGGTGACCAGCATCTGCAAACGCTCAGCCATGTGCCAGGAAACTTTGGCTAGAATCTATTTGGGTTCTGAATTTTCAGATAACTGAGGGTTGTTTTTATTTACTTTGAGGAAATATATGTTTCAGAACATTATCCACAAATTATTCAAGAGCCCCATTCCAGAATTACCATTTCAATGGAAATATTTTCCGAGAGCTTTATTTTTATTTTTATTAATGTTGGTGTTTTTCTCCACGGTGGCAAACCAGGCTGCTGAGCCATGGCACCCTCTGCCTGCCAACCTTCTCCAGACCAGGCATGAATGCTGGCTGGCTCTGGGCTGACGAATATGGACCATTCATGAGAACAGCACAACTTTTGCCTCAGAGAATTGTCACTGCAGGGATGGTGCCCAGGTTTTTCTGGGTGCCTGGAGATGTCTGCAGCAGCGTTGAAGCCCTGGTAGCACTCTGGGAGGAACTGAATGCAGCTCTCCAGAGAGAGATGGTGCAAAGACTTTGCTGGTGTGCACGCTGGTCAGATGACTCTGAGAGCCAAGGCCTGGAGGTGGGACCTGTGCTGTTAAATTCACAAGCACTGGATGGCCGTTGATGAGGTTGCTCAGTCATTAACACATTCCTTCACCAACCCTGCACCAATGACTGCTGACCCAGCAGTGCCTGGGCACAAGTTGGGGTAGCATGGGCTAGGGACCTGTTCCAGGAGTTGGGATGGATGAGACCCTCTCTCTTTTGAGAAGAGGAGGAGAATTTGGCATTGCTGCAGCTGCTTTAGGGCTAGAAAATGATTAGTATACAAGTAGCCAAAAGTTTGCCTTCAGTCAAGGTGTAGGAAACCATCCTTAGCATGGAGAGGAGTGAGATTTGTAGGGGTCCTTCTGAAAGAGAAGGAATTGAGGGAGATTGGGTCATCTGCTCACACCTCCACTTGACAGCCACAGAGTGAGAAATTTCCTGCAGGTTTATCTTTATCTCCTCTTCTTGTGCTGCTGCATCCTGAGCCCTGTGTTCCTGCCAGGGCTCAGAGGAACGACACCTCTTCATGTCATGTCCCTCCTTTGGCTCTGCAGCAACATCATCCCCGGGCTGGGCTCTCCGTGGCTGCAGCTGTGAGCGTAGGCAGCTGCCAGCAAACCCTCCCCAGCTCTGACTTTTTAAGGGGCTTCTCTTCTCCTTTGGGACTCCTGCTTAATGCTGATAGGTGATGGATGAAGTTTTGGGAGGGACCTACCAGGGCAGGGGAAGGGTGAAGCCAGGGAATGTGGAGGCGGAGAGAAGCCAAGACTGGCACAGGGGAGCTGGCTGTACATGCAGCACCACAAACTCTGCACATACTGCATGAAAGACACTTCTTAAATAAAAATAACAGAAGGGAACATGAAAGACCCCAGCAGATGCCAGCAGTGTCTGTAAGTCTCTGTGCTGGCCTGGTTCAACCCGCTCAGGACATGCTGTGCTCTAGTCTCAGATGTACAGCTCTACATCAGTTCGTGTAACATGGAGCAGGAATCCTTTCCCAAAGCACCTTGCTCCAAAGGGTAACCGAGGTCAGATGCTCAACTGGTGCCAATCTGCAGAGTTTCTCTGAGTTCAGGAATCCTGAATAAAGCTGCTGAGATCCGGCCAGCGTTCGGCTTGTAAAGAAGTGCCTCAGAGCCTGCCCCATCCCTGCTGGGTCCGAGGACTGCAGCTAGCATGCAGTCCTGTAGACCTCAGGAGGACAGTCCCTTGGGAGTGTCCTCTCTGCCTGGTGCTGCTGCTGTTTCTGGACTACTAGGTCAAGGGTGAAGAGCACCCGTGATGTCTCAAACAGGCACATCTGGGCTTGTCTGTTGACTTCTCCCTTTGCCTCTGGGTGGGTAAAGCAGCACTGCCTGGTGTCTCCAGGATGCCTTGTGTTGCCCCCACTAGGAATTAAGCCTGCCTTTGAGTAGCACAGTTGCTGTCTCTCCCTGACCCTGGTTCTCTGTTCCCTCTCCTCCAGCAGCACTGCAACTGCCCGAGGTTTTGTTGATGGGGCAGGATAGTCCTGGAGGGGGAATCAACCTTGGGCTCCAGGGCTCTGCCCCCACCACCTCCCCATGTTCCTCCCGGGTGGATGGACATGAGTGGATGCAAAGCAGCAGCAACCGGTGCTCCTGGAGGTGTAAAGCTGCATCAATTACTTTGAGCAGCTCTTCTGCCCAAACAGCCTGGCCGAAAGGGATCTGGTTCAATCCACCAGTTTCCAGGCATGCAAAAGCATAAGCATTTTGTTTAACTTCCTTGCCTGCTGGGAAACGGCTTGTGTCTTATCCCCTTTTACAGTTCTTGGCAGGAAATGTGACTCTAGAAGGTCAAACACCACTGACCTGATGACTGGGAGTAGTTGTTACAGGCAGAGGCTCAATGTGAGATCATGCAAAGTCTTCATGCTTGTGATAAATCTCATTTAACTCCCTGGGTTCAAAATCTAACAGAGTCTGTAGAGCTCTCTGAAATCTGAGTCAAAGACCTCCTGGGCAGTGAGTAGGTTGTCACAGCAAGAGGTGCCAGCTCTGCATGAGCAGACCCACACCTCACCATAGCAGGGACAGAGATGCTCAACAGAGCTGAGAGCCAGCAGTTACCCCACGCCAAATCCTCTAGCAGCTTTTTGGAGCAAGAGCCACCCAAATGTCCTTTTGCTGCTTTCTGGATTGACATCTGCTAAGCAAACAAAGGGCTGATCATGCAGTGATTCATCCAGGGTGCCCAAACTGTGAAATGGTTAAACATTTGTTTATTTATCTTCAAAGAGAGGATGCCGTACTTCCCAACTGGTTTTGTTTTCAGGGCTGGTGGAAAGCCAGTTCATTATGAGTGCCGCAGCACTCGAGAGATTCTCCCCCCTTGATCTTGGCTTTACTTCAGTTGGACTTTTTTCGCTGTGTTCTTATCCTGCAGGAAATCTGTGAAGGAGAAAATAGGAAGAAGAAAAAAGTAACTCAGAGCCATATGACTTTTATTTTTACAGTCTAAGCGAGGAGTCTGGAGGAAGATGTACCGTGGGACAGAGAGCTCTGTGTGTTTGGTATCAATCCAGCGAGCCTGATTTAGTGATCTTTAGTGCTGGTGTGACACTGGTAGTGTTAGAAGCTCCTGATGTGCATCAGATGAAGTGAAAGGTGGGGACTCAGATTTGTAGTGTTGATCACGCTGATGGATTTATGCCAGAGATCAATCTGGCACAGTAACTGCCATGCAGGATAGCAGCAGAAGAGGCAGAAGTGTTGTGTTGATTGATCAGTGTTGACTGTTCACAATGGGATAGGCCCTTTCCCAGTACTTTTTTCTTGCAGTATTGTGCTTAGCCTGGGCATGTTGTTACCAAATGGTAAAAATGAACCAAGGAGTTGCCAAGAGCCCTGCAAAAATGGGTAAAGCGTAAGGAAACATTATCTCCATGTGCTTTCTAACTCTTCAAGGACGTGTGTTTTTTAGAAGTCTGCTTGAAAACAAGTTGTTGTGTTGTGTGAAGTCTCACGTTGCACAATGTTGACTAGTTAAAGCTCCAGCACAGAGCAGCACGGACCTCTGTCAGCAGTTCCTTGCCATGAAGTGATGACAGCCCAGGATGGAGGGGAGGGACTGCAGAAAGGCACGTGGAGCCCAGCCTGTGCATCTGGGCCAGGGGAGGGCAATGCTCCCTAAAGCCTGAGAAGGCACAAGGAACCAGTTAGGATGGATTTGGGTGAACCAGGGGGAGGAAGCTGTGGAGTTCTTTTCCAGCTGCAAATCAGAAACCCCCTTTTGCCAAGAGATCCCTGTGGGGGAGGCTGGGAAGGCCTTGCTGCCTCTGCCGAGCTGCACACCATGCTCTGCAGAGCCCCAGGGGTTTCCAGGTGGCTCTGCCTGGCATGGAGCCTCTGGGACTGCAGACAGGGGACACAGCCCTCCCTTGGCAGGAGATGGCACAAACTGACCCCCTAGGTCATTCCTCTCCCTGTGGTTCTTCAATTTGAGTGCTGGTTTTGCTTCCTCTTCACTTTTGTATAGGGAAGGGGGAGAGAAGAAGAATATTTCGGTGCAAATTATTTGCCATATAAGAAGTGTTTAAGTGATGTTGCACCAAATTCACCTGAGCTGTTTCCCAGGTTGCTGAACAAGGCAGTGAAGTGATTCAGGGAGGAAATGTCTGGAGGAAAGAGGGGAGGTGGGTTTAGAGTTTGTGTTTTGATTTGAGATTGACCAATGGTATCGCACCAAAACTCCGGAGCCCTTTTCTCTCTGGCATGGACAGAGCACCAGGATGCAGTGCACAGTTCTTAGCATCCCAGGTAGGTTGAAGGCCGAGTCTTCTAGATGTTGTGTGGCCCCACAGTAACAAACTGTCCATGTTGCAAAAGCTTTGTAGGGTGCCCATAAACATCACATCTCTAGCTCCTCCGTTGCCTTCCACATAAGTACAAACCCAGCAGCATCTCCAGGAGGTCTGTGATTGTTGGACCAGCATCTCTGGAAGGACCTGGATGTGGCAAGTCCTCTCCCTGACCCCTGCCTTTGTCACCTCCTAGGCTCTCTTCACACCGGCCGGAGCTCCCCGCCCCCGGGGAGTGTTCCCGAGGAGCAGCAGCAGATCGCTCGCCAGGGCTCCTACACCAGCATCAACAGCGAGGGCGAGTTCATCCCCGAGACCATGGACCAGAACGTGAGTGGGGCTGGGCCGTGTGGGGCACGCTGGGGGTGCCCTTCCCACCCCGCCCCCCCTGCGGGCCCCGCGCTGGGGCTCGGGCCAGCTCCTCCAGGAGCGGCTGCCCCTGGGCTTGGCATGCTCAAGGGACGGCTGCTCCCTTTCCACAAGGCAGCTGCAGTGGTGATGGCAACGTGCTCAGGTAGCCCTGGGGGAGCGTAGGTGTGCGACACACGTGTGTGCCAGCTGCCGGGGCCCTCCTGGATCCTGGCACCAGCAGGGGTTGTGCCAAGGAGCCGATCGCCCGGGCTGCAGCAGCCTGGGGATGTCGGCAGCTCGCTGCTGCCCGTGTGCTCCTCCTGCCTCAGCTCCTGTTACAGCTCTTGGCTCTGCCCACAGGCTCGCTGTGTGGTTTGGTCTCTCCCTCCCTCATATATATTTTTCATTCTCTCGTACTAAGGAGTTTGTGTATTCCAGCCCCTCAGTAACAGAATGCAGCTGGTTCTGCAGCACAGTGATGAGAAGTGTTGTTCCCTCCAGGCAGTTTGGTACCCACAACGAAGGGAAGCTTGGGAGTGTTGAGGGACCAGAGGGGAAGCACCTTACACCTGCCTCTCCATTTGCATCTCTGCTCAACCTAGAGCTCCAAAGAGCTTGCTGTAGGTCCTGTGAAGTCAGCTGGGCTCTCTGGGCACACAATTCATTTTTTTGCAAAGCTCTTGGAAGGGCAGGACCAGGGTCCACAATTTGCAGGAGGGCTGGCCATGCAGGAGGGACTTGGAGGGATGTCCTGAAGGCACAAAGCTCACTCCAGCAGGCTGCTGTGACGATCCCCAAGGATCTTGCCTGGGTAGAGGTGCTTTTTCTACACTCAAATAGGTCCCACTAGCTCCTCTTCTGCGTGCAGCCTGTGCCAGTGTTTCCATGGAAAGTTGTGTTTTTAACAGTTTATTATACAGCCAGTAATAAAATAAGAAGTCACTCCGGGTGAGTCTTGGCAGCATCACAGTGCAGATGTATCTTGTGCTCCTCGTAGCCAAAAGTTGGCTTTCTATTGTTTTCCCATGCCTTGCAAACACGTTTGGTAAGATGAAGACAAAGTGCTGTGTGTGCAGGGGGAGGGTCCCCCTGAACCCCGCCTTGGGTGTAGGTCAGCACAGCTCCACGGGCTGGTACTGGAGCTGCACTGGCACTAGCTGAGCTCTCAGCCTGCTCCTGGCCAAGGTTCCCAGATGCTCTCCTCACTTTTCCCCAGCCTCACGCTGTGGGTGGCCTGCTGCCCTTCTCAGACAAACTAAATGCCGGGAAAGGGGATTTGGAGATGGGTCTTTCTCCTCTTCTGATGGAGCAGCCATGCTGTTCCCCACAGGGGCTTTGCCCTCAGAATGTCCTTGTGCTGCAGCTTCCATACGTGCCTCCTGGAAAACCACTTAAAAGCTGGTGCTTGCTGCCTGCTGGGGGATGCCCCTGTGCAAGCCTGTGATGTAACTGTGGTCTTTGCCTCGAGACCAGCTTGGCAGATGGACAGAGGTTGAGTGTGGAGCCTGCTCGGATTCCCAGTTTTACACTTTTGGGAAACCAGACTGTTTCTGAATGATTTTAACTGCTGGGAGAGATCTGGCATGGCTGGCAGAGGTGGGGAGTGGGGCCTAGCAAAGGTCTTGTTCCTCTTCGGCAAGTGCATTTTGAAGGATGAGGATTTGGGGTAAATCTGGGAAGCAGGGAAGAATTGCACTTTCCATCTGGGACCGTCCTGCCAAAACAATGTGAGCTGTTATGACAACCAGCTGAGGAGGTCTGAGGCAGGAACAGCTCACAGAAGGGGAGCCTGTTGCTGTGGATGGGGAAGGAGGAGCAGCGTGGGCTCAGGAGCCAGCAGAGGGTGACTCCACATGGTGTTGAGCCCCCGTTGCTCAGCTCTCCTGGGAAGGAGCTGGGCTGGGGCCTGGCTGGGGAGCAGGGAGTGGTGAGTGTCCACAGCAGGTCTGCAGCCAGGAGGGAGCCTCGTAGCGACCACAGCACGGCGTGGCCTTCAGCAAGCTCTCCTCTCTGTGAAGTGCACATAGCCCCTGGGTTTGCCACTCGATACAAACCCTCTATTGTTACTAACCAGCTATAAATAACCCTGTCCAGTACAATCTCTCATCCAGGAAGCAACACAAATGCAGGTTTTGACTCACTGGGCGAGTGAGAGCCAAGCCAGTTCCTCCAGCCAAAAGCCCTGATGATGCCTCACTTATCACTGGAGAGGAAGGCTGGTCTCGTGTGCCAGGGCAGCCCAGGGCTGTGATCCTGTCTGTGGCACACAGTATCCACTCAGCCTTGGGCACATCATTTGTGTCCTGATTTTTCCTTTTTTTGGTTTTTTTTTTTTTTTTTTCCCCACAAATACTTCAAGCAGTTTGAATCTCATTGACTTCTCAGCATGGTTTGAACACCAGGGTGCTAATTATCTTTGCCTCAGTTTCCCTACTAGCAAATAGCAGTTGGAAAGAACAATAGTCCAGGGAGGGCATGATAAATGGGTTTCCACTGGGGAAAAAAACCCTTTGGTTAGATTGGCTGTCATCTCTACTGGGGTCCTGTCAGCTGGTGTACATCAACCAGCTTCTGTGGAGCCTTGTTGACCCTGCAGAGGTCTGCTGGCACTGGAGCCTGAAGAGCTGCAGCATGTGGTTTTATTGGTTTCCCTTTTCTTTCCCTGTCAGATGCTTGAAGCTTTCATCAGCCCCGACGAGTCGCTGTCTGGGAGCTGCCAGTCGCTGGACAGATCCGTGGACAGGTGAGTCAGGCATGGCACCATGAGTCTGGAACAGGGAGGGTTCCAACCTTCCCAAGCTGAAATGCAGCCTCTGGTCTGCAGAGGGAGAGGAGCAGGGTCAGTAGCACCCCCTGGGGTTCCCATTCAGAAGAGGATGCACCTGACAAAACCAAATCCTAGCGCAGCCATCTGTGTGGTGGTATGATCTGAAGTGGAGTAACCTGAGCTGGACAGAGCAGGTGGGGCTCTGTGGACAGCCTGCATTTGTGTGCCCAGGTTTTCTGCTTGTCTTTGTTTTTCCTCCTGCTGCTCTGGCTTTCTGCAGTCACCAAGTCAATACTCCCTTAGCTTCCCCATGCCTCCTCCTCCCCAGGCATGCTGTCTGCTCTCCATTGACCACTAGTAAATTTGGCAGCCCCTCTGCACTGCCAGCAGCCACAGACGTGTCAGTAAAGGTGCTGAGGACACCAGAC